GTTTGTTAATATTGTTGTCACTCAACTGAGATTTATTATCACATGACTTATGGTTGGGAGACAGTTTCATCTGAGGAATATTCACTTAATTTTCCATATTCAAATTTCCTTTCCTGGCTTGACTCTGCAACACAGACTGTTTGTGTCTTTGGTCGGTTCTAACCTATTCTCCAAAACTAGCAGCAGTAAATGTCACAATATTTATAAACTGAACACGAGCAGAAGTCAAAGTAGCAAAATAACATGGATATAAAATCCTAATCAGCCTCAGATGCTTTAATGAACGGCTCAAATGCCTGTGGGCTGATTTCTCTTGGGAGAACTGGCCTTAAAGGACCCTCCCTAGGTCATGATTTGCTTCCTCACTGTAAAAAGAAACTATGAAGTGCAGCAGCCCTGTGCAAAGGCCATTAGAGAAGCAGCTTTGCCTACTTTGGGCAATTTTTTAGGACTTTAAATGCCTCTTGCACTTCCAGTCTCTCCAGGTTTCCTCTGGATTTGATACCTGAGTGCAGCAGCAGTGGGACTGGGCATGGGGACACCCCTCTGTCACCACGGCCAAGCTGGCAGGGCTGGGCTCTCTGCACCCCCCTGCTTTGGGGATGGGTTTTTTTTGGGGGACTGCTTTCCTGGGCAGGGCAGGGTGAGGCCCCTTCTGCTGTGCCAGCACAAGGGCAGACCTGGATGCTGCAGAGAAATCTCCACTGTCAAACTTCACTGAGGGGAAGAATTTAACTTTTCTTTCTTTCAATCTTTTTTTAGAGGTCATAAATATTTATGAAGATCCTGTCAGTCATCTTTAGGGTTTCTGACTGAGTGTGTCACAAGAGAAGGGCTTTTATGATGATTTATAGTAAATTGCAGTAAATTGCTTTCCTGCCAGGGAGCATGGAGGAGTTACACCATGGCAGGGGATGCAGGCGAGGTCCCCAGGATGGCAGCGATGCTCTGGGGTGAGCTGCTCCCTGCCCCGGGGACATTGTGAAGCCTGGGCACTTCTCAAGTGTCACTTCAGTCCTCAAACTCTCCTCAGGTGAGGCATGGCTGGGAGAAACTCCCTCTTTTTGGGCAGAAATCACAGCAAATATTCCTAATCTGGCAGGTCAATCCCTTTCCTGGATTTCCCCACAGCGAAACACACAGAAGTGCAGTGCACAGCATCAGCAGGGCTTGTTCCTGTAGGTACCACACACTGCTCCAAGCCTCCTCTGCATCCAACAGGAAACACTCACAAAATCTCACACCAGCAGGATTTTGGGCCTTGAAAGGATGTAGAAGTGGGTCTGACATATCAATGTAACAGCAAGTGTTTAAGAGACACTTTCTGCACGAAAAAGCAAATCAAGACAGAGTCAGGAGTGCTGTGTTGCAGGTGTTTGAAGGAGACAGAGACTTCTGTAGAATCACATAACAATAGAATGGACCCTAAAGGTCCCATTTCAACCCCCTCTAGTAATGAAAGCCCCTCTCCCACAAGCCACATCCCTGTTGTCCCAAAGCATAACCTGCTCTTTCTCTGCCTCTCAATGACTCAGTCCTGGCCAGTTTGAAGCCAATAAAAAAACACAAGATTTTTTTAAAACGTGCTCCAATTTAATCTGATTTTGCTGCTTATAATTAAGACTACAAAAGACTAAGGGGAAAACTGATAGCACCCCAAGACTGGAGGAAATCCTCCACGGATCCCAGCACATTAACATGGAGAACACCACTGCATTTCTGTCCCCGCTCCAGAGCCTTGCTATTACTCTTTAGCTGATTCCATCACTTTATATTTTACTCATTAAAGTAGGGGAAGAATGTCAAGTTCACATTTTGCCCAACAAGTAAGAACTGTGAAGATGGGAACTGCTTTTGCATTAATTGAATCAAGGATGACAGTGCAAGCAGCTTTAAGCCCCATAAATCTAGACAGGCTCCTGTCAGATAAAGTATCAATGTGCTTTATCAAACTTTGTCCATAGATTTATAGAGTGCTCAGGCCACAGATCTGTAGTTCCTCAATGTAATCACTTCAGCATTTTCTAGCTATGGTAGCCAAGCTCCATGTGAAATAATGGAATTTATTGACAGAGGAGCAGGCACTGCAATTTTGCTGTTGTTTGGAAAAATTGCCCATCAATGAAGTGCTGGTGGAGAAAGACAAAAGATATTACAGTAAGATGACTATCTCCTGACTCCTGCTGAATTGGTAGATGAGCCATTAGCTTCCAAGGAGGGAAAGGAGTGGCCACTCTTCCAGACAACTGCTCTGGCTTGTACTCAGAAATTGTACTGCTCCAAGATGACAAAAAAACCTAAATAAAATCAAACTCTGAATCCCAGACTTTTTCCAGTCTGCTGAATTGCTTCAGTCACGGGTTGCAAGTCAGAAGCCTGGGTTTTGTCAGGTTTGTTTTGGTTCAGCTATCACAATATTTAACGTTGTAATTACATGGGTTTGTCTTTGCACAATTCCTGTTCACATTTCACTGTCTGTTAAAATGTGTAACTAACACTGATCACATGAGGCAACTGTGCATCACCTTCCTTGCAGCATTTGAGGATGCAGAGTGTGTGAATTCGGGAACCCCTGTTGAAATGAGGATAATGTTGAATATAAGCTCATTTTTAGCTCTGCTCTAAGTCCTCTGACTTAGAGGACTTGGTTTAAGGAAGGAAACAGAGGAGTCTTGCCAGGAATTTTTAACAGAAGAGGGTTTATAATTACCTCAGGTAGTGGGAATGCATGTTCACGTGGGCATCAATTTATAATGAACTGTGCTCTTGAAGCATCCTTTTCGGAGACGGCTGCAGGAGCTGGCACATGGTCCAATGCTCTGGGAGCAGGATTTTGGGATCTTGCTGTGCTGAAGGTGACTGCAGGACGGGACTGCCAATGTTTCTTCAGATCACCTTGATTTCAGCAATTAGCATGACCTCCCACTGTAGTGACTGTCCTCGAGGAGTGCTCAAACTGTCTTGGAATCTTTCCTTAAAGAATTTCTACTTTCCACCTGTCAACACCTGAGAGTGTTTTATGATTGAATGATGGCTAGCACTCAAATCAGAGGAAGAGCCCCCCAAAAACACCCCTGTGCTGTTGTTGAGAAGCCCTGGTCATGCCATCAGCACATAATGATGCAGCTTGTCTCCCATTGGGTTCTATTAATCCTGTTCTATTAATCCTGCTTCCCCAGCATCCTCTGATGCCGATTCTTGCTCCAATTGCTGGTGCAAGCTGCTCACACAGGTCCACTGCCTGTGCTGCTGGATGGACACCTTGGGACTCCAGACAAAGACTCTTCCTCATTTATTTCCAAAACTACAGGGTTGGTGCTCAGGAGCTGAAAGGCATCCCAGGTAAGCAGACACATCTCATCCCTCATTCTCCCATGACATTGATGGCAAGACAGTGTCGCTTGCTCATTAACTTCATCCTGATGCCAAATCACTTTGTGGGACACAGAGGTGGGAACGAGCTCTTTCTTCTGTGCTGCAGTAGCTCAGGCCCCCAGTGAAATCAGGGCTCTGTCGCTCCAGGCAAGATAAATTTTCTTGGAAATACTCCTGGCCTTGAGCACACACTGTTCAGGCAAAGGAAGGGAAGGTGGAAGGGGAAACAGGAATCCTAAAGAAAGAAGTGACTTGCCTCAGGCTACAGGGGAGGTCAGTGGCACAGGCAGGGCCCAAGGAGCTTTGTGAATGCTATCCTGCTACCAGGGACCTTGACCTCAGAGATAATCATGAATGAAGTATAAGCAGTCTCAAGCCTGTGTTTCTGGGCTGGGATGAATTCCTTACTTTGATACGACATTTTAAACTGCACAGAATTCCTGCCCTTCTCCTCGTGCCTGGGTGACCCTTAGGGAGCAGAGTGGGATGTGCAGCAAAGGGCAGCCCATGCCATGGGGGCAGGCAAAGACATCAAATGCTAGAATAAAGCATTTTGGTTTCGTGTCCTCAGCAAAACCCCAAATTCCAGCCCAGCCACACGTGAGACATTCAGTCACAGACAATAAATAGCAGAGAGGAGCGTTGTGTAACTCTGTGGTGGAGAGGGACAGGTACATCACACAGACAGGATGATTTCAGGCAGATAGCTCCTGGTGGAAGAGAATGTCTGGCTTGTAACATACCCCTGTAAGTGGCCATTTCCCAGCTGGGAGGCCACTTAGAAGCACACTTGTCCCGGCACTGTAGGATGTCATGCTTAAAAAGACGTGGTGCAGCCAGGGCTGGGAGACCTGCTCCAGCACTCACAAGGAAAGCCTGTTCTCACAAGAATTCCAGTCAGACTGGATTCTCCTATGGTTCAGGGAATGTGCACACAATCAGACTCGGTGGATGTAAGGACAAGGCACAGGTGTCCTCCCGTGACCCTGCTGGGCTGGGCTGCTGAGCCCTGTTCTGCCCTAAGGGGATGGACAGCCCTTCCCCAGTGGTTTAATGAGAGTAATTAAAAACCTATTATGGACCTTCTCAGGTGAGCTGCTATATCTGACTGCAGGAACGCTCTTTGTGTCCCTGCAGATGTCCCACAGACTTTGGCAGTGGCAGTGTCCAGCAATGGAGCTGATAACACACACTCAGCCAGTGCCTTGTGACAGTCTGGCTGCATCAGAATTTCCTTTAAAGCAACATTTTTTACTCCACTTACAATAAGCCAGCTTGTCCTCCTGCTTCAGTACCAGCTGTAAACTCCAACCAGCTTCCTGGGGGTGCTCAGCACGGCTCTGCAGGCACCACGCCAGCCCCAGGCAGTGTCACAACCCAACTCTGAGTGACAGTGTTCCACAGCTCAGAAGGTATTTGCCATTTGGCCACACTTTCTGTGCTTGTCCTGATCATTCCCTGATCATTCATGTTCCTGACCTGGCAGCCAGTGTGTGGTGCTCAGGCTTGAGGGAAAATTAGCAGCGAGTGCCTGGAAGTGCAGTTGAGTCATGTTGTACCTCACTATTCCTGCTTAATGTGCCTGGCCACTGGGAAAAGAGACTGATGGACCTCTTACCAGGAAATCCAACCATTCTGATTTTATTCTGCTCAGAATGAATTTACTTCAGCTCTCTTCCACCTGGTCATAGCAAAGCAAAGATGTCTTTCTACTTCTCCACCTCCCATGGCCTTGCTGAGTGGCACTGTGTAACTCCAGTATGATTTTGTCTGTTTTTCCCCATCTGCAAAGATGGTGCTGGTGATGCTGGCAGTTGTCCATGCCACAGTGTGTGAACCACAACTGAGATATTGCCAGGATGATATTTATGCAAAGAAACAAGGAGAGAAGATGCATCTGGGGAGAAATGTGGAGAGAAACAACATAGAACAAGTTAGCAAAATTGTGATAAAGGCACTTACCTTTGTTCCTCACGACTGGAGGCTTCCATGTGCTTCCAGATGTTACTGCTACTGTCTTGGTTTCCAAGGTCTGTTATCTTTGTCAAACAAGAGCTTCCCCTGTGGATAGTCCCAACAAAGAACCCAAATTCCAAGAAGTGGATCAAATGTTTTCTGAAGCACTGCTAGCCCAGGACAGCTCAAAACCCACATGTGAGTATCACAGGAGAAACTGTACCACTTATCTTTATGTGATTAAAGTTCCTTAGAATAAGGAATGGCCAACTCATGACCATTCATTAGCCCAACATTCACTGAGCACATAAATTAATGTGAGGAAGATGTGCAGTAGGAGTTAATTTCTCGATTTAGCTCCGGCATATAACTGCTTCTCACACTTAATGGGCTTAAAAGGCAGAGTCCAAAATACATATTGCAAAGAGCTCTTGCAGAACACAGGCAGCGCTGCCAGGCACATGCACAAACTCACTCAAACGTGCAGCAGCTCCCTTCTGCTTCATCACGACCCCAGATTAATTTCTACATTAACCGTGCGCTCCCTCCTAAGTAGTCCAGTCTGTGAGAAGATGAGCTCCTGGCTGATGGGGGTAACTGTGTGCTTCCTGACCCTTCTCCATGCCTGGAATTGCCATCTGGATCTGTCCATCACTGTGCCCATATCCATGACACCACGTGCGTGGCTCCGTTTCAGCACAAATTGGGGTTAAACATGATCCAAACAAAACAAGGAGTGTACAGAGATCACAGGTTGTGACAGTGCAGAGAGGTTTGAGTTGGAAGACAGTTGGTGCTGGAACAATATTCAAAAGCTAAGGTCTCTTTCAACTTAATTTGTAAGTTTGCAACAGTGGGGATGAGTTAATTCACCCCTGACAACTTTATTCAACAATCGATGTATAGTCCTTGAAAATTAAATAATGAGGACCAATGATGTCTTGTATTTGTTTTTAAGGGGATGAAAGACATCATCCAGTAGAGAAATGGGTAGATTTATGTGATCAGAGACATAAGCAGAAATAACCAGACTCCCTGATGGGGTAGGAAACCCTCAGGGCTCAGCTGGGAGATTTGTTGTCTAACAGGGGAAACTGGCAATTCTGCAGGACTGTCTGAGCCCAAAGTTGCTGGAAAGAAACTGTTGAAAACAGGATAGTGATCATCAAAAATGTAATATTAGCATTTGGCCAATGGAAAACCTCCTCTCATGGAGATTCTATATCCAGTGGCATTGGCAGACCAGTGTGGGAGCTGGTGCCCGTGACAGGAAAATCAGGTACAGTGCTCTGAGCTCTCCATGGGATCTGGATCTCTGGCATGAAATAATCTCTGAGCCTAACACAGGTCCTCTACCCCCATGGACTCTCAGTCAAATGGATATTAGCACATCTTCTCACAAGAAAATTCCTCTCTCCTATATAACATGGTTCTGGGATAAGTTTTATCCTCAACACTCCAGTTTTGGATAACAAATATAGAGTGAAATTTTATTTCTGTCTGTGAGGCTCTGCTCTGCCAATGCATGCTGTGGGTGTCTCTGACATGCTCCAGAGGCTTGTGGTACTTGTTTCATGTCCATGACATCATGGCATTGTTCATGGAAGAGCCACATGTGCCAGGGAAAAAGCTCAGGAGAAAGAGGAGTTGTGAGATGGGGAAGGAAGGATGGAAATCTAACAGAGGTGTGATTCAGAAGTGCAAGTTGCAAAATGAACTTAATATTAAAAAAGGAAGGTTAATTAGTGACAGCTAGACTGGCCCTTTCATACTAAGTCGTGTTCTCAATGTCACACTCTTCTACAGAGCAGGTCAAGCAGGCTTGGTCTCCTGAACAATAGAGACACATGGATTAAAGCAGAGTGATTTCCATTAAAAAATTAAAAAAAAAAAATAGTAAAAAAAAGAAAACAAAAAAAAGGACATGACTTTAAAGGGGATTGGATGGCTCAGGGGTCTGTTAATAGCTGTTCACCTTTCAAGGTCTCTGGTCTGATTGCAGACCAGGTCAAAAGGGGGAAAGAAAGCCATTGCCTTTAATGGCTGGGTATGGATGTGAAATGAATTGATGGTCTCAATCCAGTTCAGAGCAGACTTCATAAAAATACCTTAACCTGTCTTGCCTTTTTATATTTTATTATTATAGAAATGTAGAATTTTAAGGAAGGAAAACCAAAGACTATTAAAATGCCCACTTGGAGCATCTCTTAGTCGGTTCCTACCTCTGCTCTGCAATTTCTCTCTGGCAAATCACCTGGCCCCTCATAATCTTGGTTTTCTTTATATAAAACAGAGGTGACATTTGAGTGCCTGTAGTAAAAACTAAACACCTCAACTTTGTGACCAGGATATGGCAGGATTGGGTATCCCCTGCATCCCAAGGGCATCCCTGTCCCAGTGCCCTTCTGCCTTCACAGATCACCCATTTCCCTGAGCTCAGGCAGCAGAACAATAGTCCTGGGTGCTGCTTCAGAAAGCCTCAGTCCTCCAGGCCATCAATCAATCACCTTGCTCAAGTGCTAAATGAGTTTAAGAGAAGGAAAAATAAAATGTGGATCCAAGAAAGAACTAGATTTCATCATATTGGAAGACTGTGAGGGGGAGTTTGCCTTTGAAGTACCTACAAGGGAATCTAATCAAGGCATTTACTATAAACAGAGAAAATCGATCACAGAACATTTTTAACATTTAAAGCATGTCTCTGTTTGGACAGCTGAGATATCCCATTACTGTGAATGACACCGCTGGATCAAGGGTCTACACAGCTTGAGAGAGCTGTAAATCAGCCCCAGACCTCTGGGCACAAAAACATTTACAGAATTGCTTTAAATTATTTGTAAATAAAGGGCCAAATTCAGCCTTGGGCAGAGCATGTCTTACACTGGGGCACACAGGGGCATTTTGGGTGCAGCCCCTGGGGGCTTTGTCTGCCCAAAATGTCCCTCAATAAACAGAACTGCTTTTTATTCCCTTAACTCTGCCTGGCCTCTGTTTTTGGGTAGCCCCAAAAGGCAGAGGGAGCAATAATGAAGCAGTGCAGGAAGGTGACACCACAGGACAGTGTTTGTCAGCTCCTGGAGCAGCTGGGTGACACGAGTCATGGAAGCAGGTGACGTGGTGGAGGTGGGAAGGAAGGATTGCTGTGCAGATAATTGCTCCCAAACACACTTAGCATTTTCCTTAGCTGATACTCAGGGTTATGTGAATAAAACTGGAGCTATTCAATGTCCTCAGAACACTCCCATTAATTTGTGTGGCTGAATTCAGGCTGCAGATCTTGCTAAAGCAGGAGGTCATTAAAAGAGGCAGGGAGCTTGGATAAAATGAGAGGGACAGGCCCTGGATTGAACCTTGTTCACAGTGCTTTAGGAAGGTTTTTGTCTCTCTCTCTGAGTCCCTTGGTAAAGATTTGCTGAAAAGGTGATGGAGAAAAGCAGCAATGTGGCAATCAGTGCCAGGTTACCCAGGGCAGGTGTGCCAGCCTGCCATCAGCCCAGGACTCAGCACAGCTTTGCCTCTGGGCTTGCCTCCTCCTCAGGAAATTCCACCTTTCCCTGCCTCCACACCCCCTGAAGGAAACATCTGAGCAACTGCTCAAGTCCTGCTGTTTGACAGTGTTGGATTCCTTCCCAGAGCCCCATGAGACCCCCCAGGAAAACCTTGTGCTGCACAGTGACAGGGTCACTTCTTCCTCCCAGGAGCTGCTGGTCAGTGCAGCGTCCCCACAGAGATCTCCCTGTGTCCTGAGCTGTCCCCTGGAGCTGTCCTCACCCCCCAGGGGACAGGGGACAGGCAAGTTTGGAACCAGCCCAGGCTCAATCCCTGATGATTTAATGAACCAGTGTAATGAGGATTCCCAATTACCCAAAGAACCCAGCCTGCACCTCCTGACATGTGCATGAAATACACGGCCATTGGTGGCCAGACAAAGCCCTCCAAAAAAAGCCATTTATAACCTAACAGCTGGCACCAGCTACACACCAAAAGGCAGTTTAGACTTAGTCAAGGATTATGATGCCATCAGAGGAAAAAGGTTTTGTTGTTTCAGAGTCTTAACCTTGTCTCAAGACAAAATTAACAAAAAAAAAAAAAAAAAAGAAAAAGAGAGGGAGAGAATATAGAAAATCAATAAATCTAAAATTGTATTCAGCTGGGACAGATGGCAATGATATTAAATATTTTGGCTTTTAGCCAAGTGCACTTTTAATGCAAAAATTGATGTCAGCGAAATAACCTTTTCTCCTTTTAAAAGCCCTCTCCAAGATGATTATTATCCACTAAAAAAAGAAAAAAAAAGAAAAAAATGAAAAAAGGAAATAAAGGATATCTAGCTCAGAGGTACATTAACAGATCACTCTGAGTAACAGCCCAGCAGAGTTTATGGCACAAAAACACGAAGCTTATTTAGAAAGCATTTGGTTGGGGTTGATAATGCACAGCATCACCAGCGAGGCTGCACTGCCTGTGCCTGAGCTGTCTCCCAACTCCTCCTAATTTAGTGTACAATTAAGACAATGTCTGTGAGATCTAAAGCAAGTACCTGCTTCCAGGGGGCTGCTCCTAGATCTAGTTACTGTCAAGCCAGCAATGATATCTCCTCCCAAATAAGCACCCAGGCCCTGCTGAGAGTCTCCTGATAAAAGGCACAATCCTGCTGGGTGCTGAGGATCCCCATGAAGTTCACTGGAGGATGAAGGTGCTTCTTGCACTGAGGAGGTGTCCAAAGCCCAGCACTCAGAGCTCAGCATCCCTCAGGATATGCTCCAAAGCACATTTCTATTCAGAATTAACACCAAGTCAATTTATTTTTTTTTTCTTTTTTATTACAAGTGAATCAAGTAAATGGACTGAGAGTTATTTCTCCCTTGAATATTTCCTGTGCTTTTGAAAGAGTCCCATGGCAGACTGATTGCTCTGGAATATTTATTTAATTTCCTTATTTTCTAAATTTATGCTGTGTATTCCTTCACTGTTCTCTAGGTACAAAGACGAGAAAACACACACACATCTTTTTTGAAATATACCATGTCACAGATGTAGCCAGAGAAGAATGATGTGGAGGTGGAGAGGATGCTGAAAGGAAAGGCTGAGGTATCAACCCAGCAATGCTGGGATCTTTCCACTGCTTGGAAAATGGGGTCAGTATAGAAGAGCTCCCATTACCTGTGGAAAAATGAGGCACAGAACAAGGCTACAGCCTTCCCAACATCTCTGGGCATCTGGAGCAGCATCAAGAGTACAGTCAAGGGATCTCTACTCCAGAGTGATGTCCCAAACCTTGTTTTCCTCACCCATTAGAAGCTGTGATCAAGGCCTCTGAAAATTCCCTGTGGCCAGCCTAGGAATTATCAACCTTTTCCAGACCTCTGTTACCAAATGGCTTTAAAAATGCAGCTATCTTTTAATTTTGCATTTGCTATAAAATGTATAAATCATACAGCTGCAAACTTTTTGGCTTTGTAGCATAATTAATTCCACAGATGTTTAAAATCCATGCTTGTGCCAATCATTGATTGTCAAAAAAGAAAGAAAAGCAGGCTAGTTTGGATATCTAAATAGTTCTCCCTCATAAAAAAAAAAAAGAGCCCTTAAAAACTG